TGACAAATCTAATTGTTTCATCATTCTGAAAATTCTTGAGGATATACTGTATTGGCTTTTTCTCAATAGAGACAATTTCCTAGTGAGGTCTCTTCTGATAAAAAGCTTGAATTTCCAGGGCTTTCTTTTTTGTGTTATTTCTGTATAGGTCCGGCAATTTAGCTATTATTACTAGGTACAATTCACACTTGAACAATTTGCCTTTCCTGTACCGTGGATTTGGAAAGATTAGGGTAACTTGCACACATTCTCAGTTCCGGGACTCCTTCTGTTGCTACGGTGATGGATGCGGCTTTGTTGCCTGATGTTTCTCTGTACGATTTCCTCACCTTTGCTCTTCCCCTGGTCCCGCATTATATCTTGCCCTGTTTGCTCAGACCATCTACAGCAATCCTACTCACGCTAAAGCCCTTTCTCTCTAGGATGAATATGGAACGAGGATTTGTAGAGTCTGACACTTCCCATGCTGTAACTCACCTACCTTGCTGCCTGGCCTTGGCTTCTCATGCTGTTTTCCTCCATTCATTTCATTCATTTCAACGTTTTGTTTTTTTTTTTTTAATTGTGGGATGTCTGTCTCCTGGTTTTCCTGAATGCATTTCTGTGTTTGTATTCCCCCGACTTGTCACTTTGCATGGTTTGTAGTAGAGATGTGGGAAAATTAGGAAATACACAATCATTACTTAGTCGCCAGTAAGTAATTCAAATATAAACGGTTCCACTGCGTCCTTTTATGAACTTAGTTACCTTTGCATCCCTTTTATTCTTCCTTCACAGATATGTACTTCTGCATCTTTTGAAAGGATAACAAGAGCTTCGGAAAGTTTTATCCATTATTTGATAAAATTAAGTTTTAGAACTTTTCCCTTTCCCTGAATCCTCAAAGCCATCACCATCAACCAACAGTTAACACTTCACCAGCCCAAGGACATTTATGTAGATAAAACACGCAGGTTGTACTCCTTCTCTGCAGTAAAGAGGCAGTCAAGATGCATGTACAGTGGCTGGGAAGACAGGTAGATGTTTGTAAAACTGAACTGATTTAAACTGACTTAAACTCACGTTTGAATCTATATTCTAATATTCTCAACCATCTAGAAGACTAGGTTCAGGAAAAGAAGATAAGCTATTAAGAAAGAAGAAAAGGAAACTGAAACTGTAATCACTTAAGTAACATTTCTTTAAGTCCTTCTATGTTGAAGACATTATTGCAGCCACTATGCGGGAGGCCACGGATCTATGGGAATGATACGGACACAGAAATGTTCAAGTCCTGACAGAAAAGAATCTGTAGGCAAAATATGGAGGAAGTTGGGTGCAGGGATAACCTTTCTCCTATAGAATGACCGGTGACATTTTATGGAGTAGGTGACATTTGTGTGGAAATACGTGGAATTTTACCAGCCAGAGATGGAAAGAGAAGTCATCTTCAGACAATTGCTTCACTTACTAGGGGACAGTTCCTCCCTGCTCCTGATGGCTCTTCCCCCACGAAGCCTTCTCCTGTCAGACCAACGGCTCTGGCTCTCTGTGGCTTCCTTCAGCCCTACCTGGAGTGACGGATCTGATTGCTGAGTTTTGAGTTTCAGCTTCTCCCTTCTCTTCAGGTATCCGAGCTCCTTCAGGAAACACCCACCGTGCTCTCTTCTTCCAAGTTTTACTTTTTACAGGGACAGGCTCTTCCTCTGGGGGAGAGGCCTGGGATTGTCCAATTTAGCCTATGGAAGGGAAAATGTATTTAATTTCAGAAGAGTATAAAAAGGCTTACTTAGCAAACACAGCTGAGGCACATTCTCCAACCCAGTCTTTTTTAGTAACGAAGGTCGTTTTTTGCCTCTGTCTGACTGACTGACTCCATGTCTAAGGCTCGGTTGGTTCCACACGTGGGAGGGGAACAGGATTTTCATGATTTGGGCTTATTCAGGCCCTGACATCACTACCTGCTCACACGGTTTTAGTGGCTCCTCATAACATATAGAAGAAAGCTCCAAATCCTTTACTTCCCATTCACAATTTTGCCCAATTTGACCCTTAGTTCCTTTTCCCACTTTCCGTCAGCCTCTACCTCCCTCCACCTCATGCCCAAAGCTTCTGCTCCCCGTCTCTGAGCCTCCCCAGGGCCTCCCACCTGCTGGCCTTTGCTCCAGAGTTTGCCTCAATATGCTGCTCACGTCCATTTGGTGAAATCCTGAACTGCATCTATGGCCCAGGAAGCCTTCCTATTCTGCCTCAGTCTGCCTGTGTCAGAAATGTCGTGTGTGTGCCTGTGTGTACTTGCGTGTGTGCGTGCATGTGTGTGTGCGTGTGTGTGAGAGTGTGTGTGTGTGTGTGTGTGTGTGTGTGTGTACATCTGACCAGTTTTTCAGATTCTGGGGAATAGAGATTATGATTTCTGCTTTGTTGTTTCACTGCCACCTTGGAGAGTAATCTGTACACAGTGGCTCTTTACTAAATAGTTGTTTGTGTGTTGAATTGGTTTCTGGGGGAATGGATAATATGAAATTGCATCTTTAGAATATCGACTTTTGGGCACAATGGATCAAAATGGGTACATTCTGGGTCTGAGAATGGTTTGAAGGCAGTTGAATGGGTGGGGGGCTCTGAATCGAAATCTTACAAGGTTTTAATAGAGATAGTTATGTCCATCCTATTAAGTTGAACATTCTTGGAGATGAAGGATTATCACTGTCTTATTTACCTGACATGATACCAGGTCCAGATTTGGTGCTTAATATCTGTGGAATGAATAATGAAAGCGTCTTGACTCCTTAGAGAGTATAGCTAAAGACAAAGAAAGTACAGTTAGAGAAATTTGGGATGGAAAAGAGTGTAGAGAAATCAAAGAAGAAATCCATTTCAATTATCTTAAATTGTGCCTTCCACACTTTCTAGAATAGTGTATTTAGTAAATTTCAATAATAATTCACAGTGCCCATGTAACACACATGTAATACAGATTCATTCTCATTCTTTCTTCTTCCCTAGGGTTCAGAGAATGGCATGCTCACCAATCATCTAAAGTGAAATATTTTTACAAAACGTTGTTGGGACTCACTCAAGATCCCTTTCTCTGATCCCTGGGCTCATGGAAAGAGGGAATCAGACCAGCATCTTTGAGTTCCTCCTCTGGGGACTCTCAGAGTGGCCAGAGCAGCAGCACATACTCTTCCTCCTGTTCCTGTGGATGTACATGGTCACCGTGGCTGGGAACCTGCTCATTGTCCTGGCCATTGGCACTGACACACATCTCCACACCCCCATGTACTTCTTCCTCGCCAGCCTGTCATGTGCAGACATCCTTTTCACCTCCACCACCGTGCCCAAGGCCCTGGTGAACATCCAGACCCAGAGCAGGTCCATCTCCTATGCAGGATGCCTGGCTCAGCTCTACTTCTTCTTGACTTTTGGGGACATGGACATCTTTCTTCTGGCCACAATGGCCTATGACCGCCATGTGGCTATTTGCCACCCACTCCACTATACCATGGTCATGAGCCTCCAGCGCTGCATCCTCATGGTGACTGTCTGCTGGACCCTCACAAGTCTCGTTGCCATGACGCACACCTTCCTCATATTCCAGCTCTCCTTCTGCTCTAGGAAGATCGTTCCTGACTTCTTCTGTGATCTGGGCCCCCTGATGAAGGTGTCTTGCTCTGATACCCAGGTCAATGAACTTGTGCTCATCTTCCTGGGGGGAGCAGTCATTTTAATCCCCTTTATGCTCATCCTGGTCTCTTACATCTTCATCGTTTCAGCCATCCTCAGAGTCCCCTCTGACCAGGGAAGGCACAAGGCCTTCTCTACCTGTGGTTCTCACCTCGCTGTTGTTGCCCTCTTTTTTGGGACAGTGATCAGGGCTTATCTGTGCCCCTCGTCCTCTTCCTCCAACTCAGTAGAGGAGGATACGGCAGCTGCTGTCCTGTACACAGTGGTGACTCCCCTGCTGAACCCCTTCATTTACAGCCTGCGGAACAAGGACATGAAGCGTGCCCTGGTCAGACTTCTCAGGGGCAAAGCCTCCTTCTCATGGGGCCAGTGACTTCTACAGAGAGCCTGAAGGTGTCCTCCATCCCTTCCAGTGAGGCGCTTCACAGAAATTTCCACTTCAGGTGTCTCATTTCTGAATCCGACATGTGCCTTATCACCACTCCCCTCCATGACTCCCCACCATGAATTTGGTATTGTTGAGGAAAATCAAGATTTTGCTTCATGCATTAATCTCTAAAGAGCTGCTTATTTGCTCATTTATTTTACTTATTAATAACTTTTCACAAGGAGGAATGACTTTTGCAATGTTCGTAATTCTAAAAGTCTGTGCAGCCTTTTATGCTAGTTTATCGAAACTTGATCAGTGAGGTCATGAAAAGCAAGTTAATGATAGTAATATTAGCAAATAAATCAATACCAGATGGCTAAGAGTTTACAACTTTAAGCAAACAAGTATATTTTTTCCTATAAAAATAGGAAATTATACAATTATTGTCTCAAGGTTATGAATCAAAAATATTTGCAGGTATTAAAAGAAAGCTCTCGACAATGTCATAGGAGTGATCTATGTTCTTTTTAGTAAAAGGATTTATGAACAGTTTGCAATGAGAAGGTATAACAAATAAATTTAGTTTAAATATCATGGCAACTAGTGTGTAGCTATTCTCTAACCTCCTTCCTTGGCTGATTATGAGTGAGTGTTATGTGTGTGTATCTGCTCATAGCCCATGCAGGTCTGGGGCTTTAGCTGGTATTCCGGCCATCTTGGGGATTTTGGCAAAGATGGGGATGAAGCATATACACATTTTTGCTTCCCTGTGCTAAGTAGAATCCCCTCCCCCTCCCTAACAGGAGTGAGGCAGTCAGTGATAGTAAGTTGGTCCAGGACGCAGGTATCCTTCAGAAAGGACACAATCAAGAGAACTTAAGGAGGTGCACAAAGTTTGTGTTCAATATAATTCATGTCTTATGTTACTGAGATCCATTTATTGCCTTCCATTTTATCCAGATCCTACCCTATAATATGGTACCTCCATTTGCTATCATTGTTAAAATGAATTCAGTCTCTGTACTTTCCAAATAGGGTGGGTATGCATCCCATAATTCAGAATTCCCTATAAGGTTCTGGCCAATTATGAGCTGGAAAGATTTAAGGAAAAATGTAGGGAAACAAAATACAGTCCCTACTACCATAGGTTGTCCCAAGGCTATAACTAAAGATCATTATCTCTGCTCTCTGCTACCCATTCTAGATTTTCTTCCCCTAGGCTATTGCTTCAGCAGGTCTGTGTTGATACCTGGTAGAATGACTTAGACGTTCAGCCACGAAAGTTTTGAGTTCTTAGTTATTCTCTTCTTTTTGTGTTATGGTGACTGAAATGTACATTAGCTTTTTTAATGCTTCATAGAAGTAATAGGGAAGTTCATGTCATATCCAAATGAATGCCCTAGGGTTTAAGACATGTTATTTCCTGTCCCAATTGTGTAGTAGTAACGTATGGTCATTACCATTACCACATGGTCATGGTAAACAATATCAATTATCCTTGTTAGAAAAGTAATTCATATCTTTTCCTGTTGGCCTACTGCATGAGGAGCACAAAATGGTCAAGGGGTAATCATAGTTTCTATTTTAGTGGATTCCTATTTTAGTGGATTAAAGGGAGGTAAGTTTTCTGTACTTCACTTGAACTGGTAAAATGATGAAAACAATAGAATGTGATAAGTTATGTATATATAATGTAATGCCTAGAGCAACCCACTAAAAAAATCTATACAAAGAGATATACTCAAAAACACTATAGATAAATTTAATTTATTATTTTTTCCCTTGAGGACCTGCAGTGGACCCGGGGTGCCCGATCTGGGAGCTCCTTGCCTGCCAGTGTTTCATGGAGACACATCCAGCAGGTCAGACACTCAGGCCAGATCCTGTGCCACCAGGTCTTCAGCGGGTTGCTGCAGGACACAGGGGAGAGGTTTGGGAGCTAGACTTAGAAGGCAAGGGAGTCCATCTGGGTGGAACTGATGGGAGAGTACTGTCGGGGTCTGACATGCTGCGATCTGGGGAAGCACTCATCCCCCCCACAGGAAAGCCACTCTGTCAGACTAGGGTGGATCCTCCCGCAGGGACAATCTCCGCCTGCAGCACCATAGCAACTGAGTGCAGCATGTTCAGGTGCCTGAGGACAGGGATAACACAAGAGGAGAGGAGCTCACTCCTGACAGCCAGTCAGGGAACTGTAGCCCCTTCTTCACAAGCA